TACCTGTTTCCTTTCATAATATTCGAGCTTATTCGCTGCAGCTTTCTTCATATTCAGAGGCTTTGGACATTTGCTCAGAGTGTGATTACGGTCATCACAGTTAAAGCATCCAGCCACGGAGAGGGGATCAAAGGACTTGGGGACGTACGAACTCTTTCCAAACGATACGGCTGTTCGTCCGCGATTGTTAACAAGGGACAGAGGACGAGCATATCTGCCCTGACCTGCGTAGAAAATCTTTTCGTTCCCCTCGCTATCAGATACAGCCTTTCTTTGATGGACGGCAATGTTATCGCGGAGCTTCGCGATCTCAGCTTCTTTTTCAAGCTGCAAGGCATTCTCCAGCTCTCCGTACAATTCTTCAAAGGTCAAATTGTTGGTAGCAATCCGTGTTAGAGGATCCTTGGACCAGTCAAATCCCACAACGGCTTGATGAAGGAACTCGATCTTATGAGCTTCCCCACGGTGTGATGCAGGTCCTTGGCGAGAGAGCTTGTTGATGATGTTGTGAACTTTGGCAAGGGCGTCGGACATCTCCGTTCCAGCGTTGACGAACTTCGAGATCCTTAGAGTATTGAGATAATTCTTGACCTTTGTTTGTCGGACAGTAGAATTATACTCCTTCTCGATCATGTCAACAGCTTGATTGAAGGAGGTGGCGTATTCGTCAATCTTGTCCAAGTAAATTCGCTTGGCATCTCCGCGAAGCAGGTTGTGCATGTACTGCAATTTTTGGGAGACGGATAGTCTATAGTCACGAGCAAGTTGTTTGTAGTCGTCGACAAATTCCATCCAGCATTCTCCGATTGCACCGGTGAATTTCTTATCCTTCTCTCTCAGCCTCATGGCCACATTATGGGCAATCTTGTCCATGGAAGAAGTGCCCAGTCGCCGAGATGTTTCGACTGATGCGGGGGCGGAAGCAGTGCCTTCTGATGTAGAAATTTGTTCGCGGTTACGACGTCCGGCAGCTATGATTTCCTGTACTATCTCGATGGCGGCGTGCTTGTCCTCGTGCTCCTCATAAACATTGGAGGCAAGCGTCATCATTATTCTCCGAGATGAATGCTGGAGCATTCCAGCACGCCGTGTGTCAAGAAAATTGCGAAGTTCTGAATAGACGGACGGCAAACTGCGCAACTCCTTGCTAAAAAGCTGACTTGGCGGAAACATGTCCGCGATGGCGCGTAGTAGCACATCGCCTTCGTCACCGGAGCCTTGCCCAGACGAATAGAAGTAATAAAACCTTTCTGTACGTCATTAAGCGAATGGAAAAGACCATTTGACAATCCTTGCATGAACATCGGCTCGGATCCTTCAGCTGAACTGTTCCCGGGCGGACCTGCGGCGCTTGTAGACATCTTGATGGCCACGATGACGTTGCTCCTCACCAGAGGTACGACACCCCGTCAGCTAACCCGTTCGGAAATCACCTGGTTTTACAACCAAACACCGTTATCCGCCCCGTAGGACCGGTGGGGCTCCAGCAACGAGATCGCGTTCGTTCAAGTCGCCAACCTCGCGTCCCCGGCGAACCGGATCAACCGTTTCAGATTTGAGAGCGTGTCAACGAAAGCCACTTCAACGTCAGTAAGCGATACAGCGGTGTGTGCGAAAAATTGGTGGGCTTGCCGTGGAGTGCGGTGGTTCTAGCCGACGACGCTCGATTGCGAAACCCTAGTCTGTATCGTGGTGATTTCCGGTGATTGTGGTGTGGTAATAATGTGTGCCAGGACGGTACAGTACCTGGCATAGTCGAATGCTTGTCGTCTATTGGCTTAGCGAGTGAAGCTCGGTTGATTTCCCAGAGATTCGGTAATTCATGAATGTGAAAAAACTGAGGAAAAATACTGGAAAAGTAAGAGAAAATTCCGCACCGACGGACGGTACCCTTTTACTCACCCCTATCTTCCGACGAACGGAACTTTGACTTGTAGGATGGTTTAGATTATTTGTGGGTTTACGCAACAAGCTTTTCAGAAATAGAAATGACTATTTTCAGCAATTGTAATTTCGCACAAGCGCATTTCTGAAAAGCAAATTTTCTTGCAATTTTTGCATTACGCAATACTTATCCGTTACAATTATGAGTATTAGAATTTATATAGCCTACCCCCTTCTACTCCAATCCAAAAAACAAAGTGGTACAGCAACACAGTATGACGCTTGGACGCCAAAGAGACCACAGCTATGCGAAAACTGTCGCAAGGAAGCGGAGATGGGAGGTTGCGGCGTACATCCTCATGCGGAGGCGCCGTACAGCAAACAATAATGCTTCTATCTCCCAGCTTCTCCACAGAGCACTTCTATCTCCCAGCTTCTCCACAGAGCACTTGAAAAATATATTTCGAAAGCTGACCGTATCTCCATGTCTGACTTTCCTTTCAACTTGAACATTCTAACTCAATTGGATTGTCTTCGTTTGTTTAGGTTCGAGAAAGATGATCTTTACAAAATTGTCGACTGTGTAGGATGGCCATTGTCTATACGTACAACTAAACGGAACAGATACGCTTGTGACCCAGTGCTCGTGACGTGTATTATCATGCGACGCATTAGCAGCCCAGCGAGATGGTCAGATATGGAAGTGATGTTCGGAAGACATGCGTCGCAATTGTCCGAAATCTTTTGGGAAGGATTGGAGAAGTTTCTGTCCCTCAGGAAAGCACTACTCACAGACCATATACCTCAATATTTCTTAAAAGAGAACGCAGTGCGATATGCTAACGCCATACACTCAAAAAGCGACGCACTTACAAATTGCGTGGGCTTCATAGATGGAACAGTGATTGCAGTTGCGCGGCCTGGTGACGCGGAGGCGCAAAACGTGGCGTATAATGGCCATAAGCGTAAACACGCATTGAAATATCAGGCTGTAACAACACCGGATGGACTCATACTACACGCTCATGGACCGCTAGAAGGTCGGAGACACGACTGGACGCTGTATGTTCAGAGTGGGTTGGAGGAAATTTAGAAGACATAATGCAGGTCCGTGGAATTCAGTACTGTCTCTACGGGGACTCAGGATATAGCCTCCGACCATTTCTAGAAGTTCCTTATCAGGGTTCGAATCTGACGCCTGCGCAAAGGGCATTGAACGTGGCGATGTCGAGAGTGAGAGTTACTGTAGAATGGGCTTTCAAGGAGGTGAAGCTTTATTGGAAAACGGTGGACTTCAAGAGGAAAATGCGCATTGCCGAATCACCGGTTGGAGCGCTTTACTTGGCCGCCATGCTGCTGACTAATAGGCGAAACTGTATCTACCCCAACACTATCTCACAGTACTTTCGACGAGTACCTCAACAAAGGTGTGCCTCACTCTGCGGGCCCGTAGGGCGAGGAGCAAAACTTCGCCCACAGCCCGGAGGGATCGCAGGGCTGGAAGGGCCCACAGCCCCGCAGGGCCGCCAGAGCCACTTTGGAACCGCAAAGGCCTGTCGTGCCTCCTCATAGTCTCACACCACGTAAAATGACCCTTTCCTGAGCGCCCCCACGGCCCTATTTCTTTCCCGCGAACGCCTCCATCATGAGACGGAACTTCTCCAACTCAAGCTTATCATGCGCAACACGCTCTTCGCGTCTCATTTCGTGCTCTTCCGCACGCTCCAAGCGTTCTATTTCCATTCTCTCGCGGTCCAAAGCCAAGCGTTCACGCTCTACAGCTACGCGCGCCATATCAGACTCTTTCAACGACTCTCCAAGGCCAGACAGGCCACTGTCTCCTTCGGCATCCAGTCTTCTGCGCTTTTCCTTGCCTTTTCATCCCGTGAATCCCACCTCCCCACTGTCACCGTTGTCATCACCGCTACCGCTCGCACTTCCAGATCGTTTGCGAGCTAAAGATTTCGCTACAAGAGCGCGGCCGACTTGCTCCTTTCGCTCCTCTTTCTCCTCCCGAGCCACTCTTCTCTCATCCCTGTTCTTCTGTAAGTCCTTCTGTGCCTCGAGCATTGCTCCAAGAAGCTCATCCATCTCTCCTACATCTCCGCCGATACCCGACATTCGCCTCTCCCAGTTGTCCTTGCGACGAAAGGAGTTCATGAGCTTCTTGAATCGATCCTGCAGACGCTTGCATGTTACCTTCGCGGTCAGATTCGGATTCTGATTCGCGCGCTCTGCAGCTTGGGCAAAGCTCATCTGCACCTCCCCATATTTCGCAATATGGGCTTGTGCAACGCAGGCCTCTCTGACGATGATGAGGTCATCGCCAGACGTAAAAGTAGGTCTGCGTCCAGCTTTGCCTTTAGTAGCGTGGATGACTTCTGCGGAATGGAGCTGACTTCCAACAGAGGGTGTAGGTGGAGAATCGCGAGACGGAGACGAGTTAGAGTTGTCATCAGGGATGGGCGACAGCGGGTTAACTTGCGCCATAAGGAGAGGGATAGGAAAAGGAAGAGGAAGAGGGATAAGAAAAGGAAGAGGGATAGGAAAAAGAAGCGGGTATGTGAGAGTGGTGTGAGTGCTTCTTTGTTTGTCGTATAGTTTAGACGTGGTGCAGTAGGCGTTGCTGTGTGCTCCATTGGCGCCAATTCATATCCACATGTGCCTTCTGTGCGGGCGATGAGTTACAGAAACGATTTCACTATTTGATCACATTTCACAATCAGTATACACATGCAGCAACAGAATATCCGCAACGTGTAATACTTGTCATGTTCTATTTCTGAAAAGCTTAATTACAATTACAATATTAGCGAAATCCAGGTGCGTAAACCCTCTATTAGTTCCGGTTGCCCTTATGAGCTACTTTGGATAGGGCCTAAAAAGGGCTATAATCCTCTTTTTTTGTTCATTTTCGCTCTAAATTCGTCACCGCGATGCCCGCGGTTCTGTCCTTCGCCTCCCAATTGCTGGACTTCAGCATTCCACCGTCCGTACTCGCTCCTACGCGATTTCGGAGCGGTTTGGAAGACTAGTTGATTCCCGTGCAAGCCCAACCCATCACCGGGCGGTTGCCGCCTCTCAGTCCGTACATTGACCTCGGCATCGCGACAGCGATGACGAAATCTGCTACGGGTCGAAAGCCGGGGAAGAGTGAGTCCGGCCCGCGCAAGGGGGTTACCCCCTCTATTCGCAAGAAAAGCACGTCGACAAAAGCAAAAAAGAAACGAAAATCCAAACCTACCAAACCTGCTAAACCACGCAAGAAATCGAATTCATCGGCAACAGCGGCCAAACAACCACGAGTCAAGAAGAAATCCCCAGATAGTCGGGCTGCTGGCAAAGTTGCGCCCGCAGTACGGCGATCCCCCACAACGATAAATTCATTAAGTACGGCTGCAGCAGCGGGCAAGCAACAACAAGCGCAACCCAAGAAAAGAACTACCGCTAATCAGACTGCTAACAAAACCACGCCTGTGGCACGGCGATCTGCCACAACCACAAACTCATTGAGCACGGCTGAAGCAGCGGGCAAGCAACAACAAACGCAACCCAAGAAAAGAACTATAGCTAATCAGATTGTCTTGCCACGGATTGCCGTGGCACGGCAATCCGCTACAAGCACAAATTCGCAACAACGCGGCAATGGACGACTGTCCATCGAAAGTAATCGCACGGCTTCAACAGCAACGGGAAACGTGCTTTCTGCGAGCAATCATGTACGGAAAAAGTCGAGATCCGCTGCCGACTTTCCCAATAACTTGTCCAGACGAAATAGGCAGAACATAGCAACAGACAACGGCGCAGGCGGAAGAAGAATTATCGCGCCCCAGAGTGTGGCTCTCGCGGACGCCCCACAGAGAGGTGAAATGCATCCAAGCGGGCGACCAGTGACAAGGGCGGACGAACGGACGATCATACACGGATCTGAACGGAACTGCGAAGGGCTCTCCTGGCGGTGGCTCAGAATTCGCGAATGTGCCCCTTCAAGGCCTCCTAGTAGTCCACATGCAGTAATGAGGAATCCGAGGTGCAGCAGATTAGTTTTCCCTTCATCGGACACAGATTCGTATGACTCTGATGCACCTTTGATGAGTACGCGTGGGCCCACCCAAAGGCGTCAAGTGACACTCGGAAACATCTCGCTCTCCGAAAGACAGAACAACGGGGTGAGGCAGGCGACAGAACAACGCCTGCAGCATGCGGATGCTCGCTTCCCTAACCGGTCTCGGTCTGCCTCAGTCGTAGGCCTGGCATGCGGATCAGCAGAGGACCGGGCGTCTTCCAGACCACTCGAAAGACCTACAACCCTTTCGGCTGACCCCAGCGCAGTGGTGCGTGTGCGATCGATGCAATCAAATTTCATGTCCTCTTCAAGAAAAGGGCTGGACGAAGCTCTGTTACGCCGCACACGCAATGTGCGAACACCGCAGGCCATTTGTGCAGAGGTTATTGACGTAGATGCGGTCTCCTCGGAAACGCCCGCAGCGGATGAAGTCGTTCTGATATCTGATTCAGATTCCGACGATGTGCGCCCCTGCACACCTACGACCGCGAGACGTCCAAAACGTTCCCGTCGTTGTCAGGGGAAGCCCCCACCTAGGACTGGGAATGGAGAGACTGGATTCGATGATGTCGCGATCATATCGCACGTCGTCCGAGGAGCAGGTGTACCGCTCACGGAAAGCAGCGACGGGAAAATGGAACCCGAAGGCGAGGATGCGGAAGGCAGCGAAGGCCATGAATTGTCTGTTGTGGCTACAAGGCGTGGAGTTCAAGCGCTTGTAGACCTCCCTCATATGAGGTTCCAATGCGGAAAGGTGCCCTTCGTACGTGGAAAGAAAAAAAATACCTGCCCGTTGTGTTACTGCTTCGTTTGTGATATAGAAGCCACAAAATGTGAAAGCTGGGTCCGTCACAGCGCAGCCACAGATAAGAGTGTTTCCTGGATACGGAAGCGACATTCGAAAAGAGAAAAACGGGCGAGGGCTAAGTCGTAGCCGAAGGAATATCGTCAGGATGCAACGCAGGTTTCATTTAGGCAAGCATAAGCAATGTGCGATTTGGAATATATATCTTTGTTCTAAATGATGCATTCGATTTGGAATATATATCTTTGTTCTAAATGATGCACTGATGGCGGACTAGTCGAGACGCCATCGATTTTGGTGAACATACTATGATGCGATCCTCATTGGCCACTGGAGGCGAGCTCTTTCATGAATGGCAGGCCTTTTTTGCAAACGTTGGGAGCTGCAACTCGATCAACATGTATCAGTGAATAGCACGAATACTCGAAATGTCAGACTTCTAGTCCGTGGGTTGGGAGTTGCACATGGAAATAAAGCCGCAGCACTTATCACTACCCCGCTCGAAACCAGTCATTGGATCGATTGATGGAAATCATTTGCAACTAACTCTGTGCCTTACGATACTTATGTGATCTGAGCGAAGCTCAAAAACTTACGGTTGCTGTTGTCTGGCTGTACGCTCTCTGGGAGCACAGTACTGTAGTTGGAGAAACTCCGTCATTCTGCATGGGCGACATCATATGAAATCTCGGTGTACGTGAGCAGCTTGATGAAGTGTCCCAGGACTGTGGCTACTGCCAGAAATGCAGCGCACCCTACGATTCCTGCCATGGCCGCTAACTGTAGTGGAAGTGGGAGAAATTTGATACCAGTTAAACCTAGCGCGGCAAATAGGAGCGCGGAACACAAGAATGTGGCGAACCCAATACCTGCTCCAACGAACGCTGCTACTCGGCCTGTTCGAAGATTCTGCAACGCCGGCCGACATGATTCACAATGCTTCGTGTGGTAAGCATATCTGTCGTTGATTTCCTCTCTCGATTGTCGAACAATTGGCGCCTCGGATGAAATTTGTTTCCGGTGCGGGATACTGTGGCAGTTGTGGTCAAGCCACCGCCGAAATTCTACTACCAGGGAATCCCAGGTGCCCGATGCAAGCGTATACTCCTTCTTCCACGCGCTGCCGTACCCATCGCGAATGCAATTCTGCGTATGCGCCTCTTGCCATTGCAACAGGGGTGAATCCCCGTCAAGGATCAAGTTTGAGATCGTATGTTCATACCAGCGTGGAGTAATTCGCTTCACGAGCTTCTGAATACGCGGCATGTCGATGTTACAATTGACAGCGAACAAAGCGGAACGGTTGTAGTCGATGGGGACAGCATACGTCAACAGGGAATAAGGTGCGGCTTTGCCAACAGGTGAATTAAGCCGATAAGCAACACTGGTCGGGGCTTCAAACGTAACACTGAGTCGATGTGACGGTGAATCACCGATGCGAATTCCGGCTCTGAAAAAGCCGCGGGCGTCGTCTTTCTCAAGGATTTCTAGATTTCCAATACGTGGCACGGTGTTTCTATTACCCTGACCAGTTCCATGATGAGACCACTGTACATGTGCGGGGTCTGCGAGGTTTTCAAGGAGTGTGCCAAAGTTAAAGGGAAAGACACGGTATGAGTTCCGGAAAGTCGTGACGCGATCACCAAGATCCAAAAGGTTCTTCGGCACTGGGATTTTGCTAACATCTGCTTCAGCACGGTCACCCAACCACACGAAGATGAGACCGGCGATGGAAACATGTGTCGCATACAAACCGCCGACGTCTGCCGCTGCTGGGATGCGTTTCTGCAAGTCCACTACTGGAATGTCAACGCAGCGACCAGTGCAATCAAAGCGCCAGCCGTGGTAGCCGCATTCCAGAATCGTCTCCATGCTGCCGTCGGGACGTGATCGTTCATAGAGTCGACCCTCTGACAATGGGGCGGCACGGTGAGGACAGACATCGTCCATGACGACGTAATTACCTGTCACCGTATCGCGAAACAGGACGTAGTGGCGATTCCAGATGGTGACGGGGATGGGCTTTGAATGTGGGACGTCTTCTGCCCATGCCATTGGGTACCAGTTGTCAAGCCATGCGAAAGGAGGGCGAGAGGAGGGCTGAGATTTGGGCGCGGTGCTTGCTTTGGGGCCTAGTTTCTGAGACTGCACAGGCTGAGATGGGGAGGTCGGGGATGATTGTTGAGCTTCCATGGATGCGCGGCGTCGGCTATAATGCGAAACATGATGTCGGAGCACGATCGCTTTTGACGCAGAGAAGCTGGTGTGGCTTGACCATCTCACTGGAATTGGAGAAACGAAGGCCATCTTTCAGATGAGAGGAAGCGGAGAGCAACTTATCGTCGCCACCTCACCACAGGCTTGTTTGCCACGAACTTGTGCTTCGTATGTTTGAGACGAAGAAGATAGTAACTTTAAGGGTTGTCTCCTGGCCACGAGTGCAGACACGCTCCGAGTGCGGATATGAGCCCCGAGGCTTGCCGAGGGCATCATAAAGGGTGTTGAAAAGTAGAAGACCATACAAGTGTGGCATCAACATGTTACGGGAGCATTGTTGCTGCATGTGCAGTTTATTGACAAGGGAATGGTCTTTTGGCCACACACTTCTATATTTGATTGACCTTTATATGTACAGGGGGGTACCCGATTTAGTGCCTCTATATATAGTGTATGTCCCGGTTTAGTGCTACTCTAACGGCTCTACACCAAAAGGTATGATAAACAAGTGCCCCCCGGGCCCAGGACGCCATGGAATCTGTTTTAAAAGATATGTCGGGCCTATCTCTCCAGGCAAAAAATGCAAATGTGAGCAATGTTAATGACCAAAGGGATGCCGCTGATATTGCTACGTTAAATGAAAGTAATATTAATGGTTGGGTTATGGTAGAGGATTCAAGTGAAGTCAGAGAGGCCATGGAAACAGAAGCTCTAGAAGAGGTGGAGAGAATTATGGAGGAAATGGATGGGTCTAGGTGTGTTTCATCTGGGCGAACTGAAGCAGAGCATACAGATACAGTGATGGAGGAGATTTCTAATGCTAATCAGGCTCGTTCTCTCTCTTTGATCGAAGCAGCGAATGAGTTCTCAAAATTAGAGGCGGCAGCGGTAGCTCTCTCGCTACCTGATGCGTCTTCACATTTGCGCAAGGCTAGACGCATCATATTTGAGGCTCTCAAGCCACAGAAGAAGCAGAAACAGACGACCTTGACGGGTTTCCTTAGTTAAATACTATATTCAGTCTTCTTGTTAAGTTACCGTTCTTGTGCCAAACCCGATTTAGTGCCTATTTTATCACGCTACACGGGGTAGCACTAAATAGGGTACCCCCCTGTATCTTTCTTTTTACGGACTTCATCGATCTCCTTTTTGAGGTGCGACGAAGTCATCCTCACGAGGAGTATTAAGAATCTCATCGGGTGTGTCGGGGTAGTATAAAAGCAGCTCCCCTTTTCCTAGTAGAGGAAAAAGGAGGCAGCACACAGAGAGAATAGCGAAATCCAGGTGCGTAAACCCTCTAATGTACTCAAGAGGTTCCCTACAGTATGCTCTTGTCCAAACGGCTCGCTGCTGTAACGAACTTCATGACAGATCGGTTTCAAGATTCAGTCGCATTTAATTAACATTTATCTCAATTATGCAGACTCTGCACCAAAGACACATTATTATCTTCAGTAGAGATAATGCGCAGACTCTGTCTGCATAGCAGAGGTAAATGTTGATTGCATCACAGATTATCGACGTTTGCCGTGGAAAAGGGAATATAGCTGGATTTAAACTTGATCTTTTGTGACGAACCGGTAACTTCGTCGGTCAAGAACAATCATGCAGTATTTGCTCTCCTCTCAAAATTTTTAACAGGCTGGTTCAGGACCCTCCAACATCTTCACCGAGGAGAACTCAGGAAAGCCGCGAAAGAGCCCATGCACTATTATGGAGGGGTAATCTCTCTTCTCAGAATCATAAGTCGGGGGACAACAAGTCGTTCACTGGCGCTGTCGAGGTATCGCCACTTTACCGTTACCGCTGTAGTGAAAAGATTGCAGCTGGGGTAGTTTGATAGAAAACATGGGTATAATTATCAAGAGATATGCGATACGGCTCTAAATAGGACCCCGTCAAATCGCCTCTCCCTTTCCTTTGAATACAAAAGACCCAGCGCTCTGCCAGTAGCCTCCTTCCAGTACAAAAGCATTGTAGAGCGCGGCCCCTTAGCCGCTAATTTGCGGACTACTGCAAATTGCGCAGCACCTTGCACTTTCAGACAACTCCTTCAAAGTTGAGAAACACAGCGACCTGCCATATATATAAAGCCTTTGCGGAGAGGGCAAACGCCTTTATAGCTCCAACTCAATGACTTCCATTCTCGGAAATGAAAAATTGCAACCCGAATTCGTTCCTAGCAGTTTGGATGCACACAATGATATCATCGAAAAGGACTCCACATGCACACCAGTCATCCCACTTCCAGATTTGTGATCCTACATAAAAACTTGAATATACCCAATCGCGCCAGCATTCTCAGGAATAGCAAGTCGGAAACGCACCCAAGGCCTCTACAACCATGCCAGTGACATTTTGAGAGGGGCTCTCTTCTGTGACCAGCAAGGTTGATTTATTGAGGCGAAGCCGCACACGCAAGTTAAAGCGCGGAAGCGTCAACGACACTGAATGCGATTACCGAAATCATTTGCAGTAGCTCCATCCACACGCACAGACTTCCAGTTCCTGTCATCAGAGAATATTAAAGAAGTGAATTCATACATCTGAGAACGCGCCCCAAAAACCACCAATGTACAAACGGGGCGCACCTCACATGACCATTGCTATCTCCTTCCCGCAGTCACCTTATTGCTCAACTCATTCTGGTTTACCCCTGGCCCCTGATCCATGCGTGGGTTCCGCTCGCGCGCAGCTTCCTCCCCATTTTCGACGGAGCCCATCCCAAGCACGCCACCAAAATCAGCATCCCTGCGCATGGTTTCTATCGCTTCGTAGATTTCTTTCAGCTCTTTCCTGTACCTCGCTGTCATACGCGCTGCAAGGACCCCCTCTCTCCTGCGGCATGTTTCCGGCGCGGCAGAATCCCTGACATCAAGCCAGTGGACATCGTCGTGCGGTAGCACCCACCCCGGAAGTAGCAAGCACTCATAACCGCCGAGTCGGACATCAACCTGCCTGAAGTACTCGTTTGGAATAACACACCCGCACGGAAAGAGGGCGATGCCGACGCCTGCCTCCACGCGAGATGCATGCGGAAGTGAACGATCGAGGAGAACGCGCTCTGCGGCGGCGACCCAATCGTCAGTTAGGAAGAGGGGAAGGTCATCAAAGACGAAAGCGACAAAGTCAATGTCGGCGGAGATTTTTGTCCAGTCGTCCGCGGAGAGCTTGGTGAGAAGGCCCTCTGGACGGGCAACTTCGACAATGTAGACGGTAGAGTTGGAAAGGAATTGAGAGCGGCGCTCATATTCGGCGACTTGATTTGGGTTGAGCTGTACGTGGCGGTCGCGTAGGGAGAGGAAAGCGAACACGGTTACGAGAAAGACGAGAAGAAGCCAGAAAAAGGCAGAGTCCAAGTCGAGCTTGTTGAGAGTGGAACGAGACCTGGTGGGCGAGCGAAGGTGAGACGCGGCGGTATAGATGGGGCTGGAGTGATGCGCGCCGCGATGTGTTGGTGGGCGCTTCGGTAGAGACATTGCGCGGGGCGATGCCTCAGCTGCAATTGAAGTGAAGCGACGTCAGGGGGAAGGTGAGAGAGTACGGATGTGTTGAAGCAGTGAGTCGAGACAGAAGAGGGCAAGGCAAAAAAACGGGTCGATATGCATCAAAACGTGGACACGTTTCGTACCAAAGAGACGGATCACCTCTCCTGACAGTAATTAAAAATAGTCTCTATTCCTTCCCAAGTGTTATTGAGAGTACACGTATCAAAAAAAAATTTAATCGTTCAGCATTCGAATTTTGACTCCAATTCGTTTCCTTTTTGCTTTTTCCACATTTCTCCAACAAACCCTATCCTGTTTCATGGAGCTGCCCGGAGGTTTATATTCCCATAGGCAGTGCTCAGATATGCAAGTTGTTGGAATAGCAAGGTTGACGTGCAACCATGCCGAAGTCACACCTTCCCTCTTTCAACCCCAGCTACCAACGCCATAATATGCGAATCTCATGACGTTGGACGAGAAGAACAGTCGGTTCTCACATCATTCGACACAACCCAGATGACGGGCCGCTCCTTGCGCTCTTCGTGAACAGCCCTTTAACCAATATTTGTAAGGCGCACATCAGTGACAAGTATTCCATGATCAAGATTGCACCCTGCCCTGCCCTGAGCCCGATCAGGGAAGGTAAGTTGCATTTGCATGTTCCGGGCAACTCCAGCGCTACCGTAAGTTTTGAACCAGAACAAAATGCAGTCGCCATGATGAACAGTCAACCCAAGGACCGTGTCAAACGTGAAATCCTTTGATTTTGTGGCTTGTGCACTGTGACTTTCCTTTCTTCCCATTTATAACCTGAGCGACAATGGTTTAAGTTGGAGGATTGCGTTAACGCCACTACTGGAAATGCAAAACTAACAAAGAAGAATTCGGCAAACTTTGTTCCTTGAACTGAAGGTTTCGTTCAAACACTGTCACTGAGCCTCAGAGGTGAACGTACCGGAATAGTTTCAAATATTCGTCCTCGTCAATGAAGAAAGTAGAGAAATGCAAAAAATGACCGAATATCCTTTTTCTCCTGCATTTTCTGCGGTGGTAAAGGATTTCTGCAGATACCTTTCTCATTGACGATGGGGCCACTCTACATCAGTTTTTCGATGTACTGTATACGTATGTTGTTCTGAAGTCAAGGCCGTGATCGCATTGTAACAAGCCTTGGTGACAAACACACAACTCTGTAGAACAGACGAGGGAACTACTGTACCTGATTGCTCCCGTTATCCCAGACTAAATCCCATGATGCAGCTCGGAAAGGCTGCGTAACGGGCCTCTATGAACGACCGACACCTAATTTCCGCACAGTCGTGCCCCAGTAGTGCGCACAAAATCGGCTAGTTCTCTTCACATAAGCGTTTCATGGACCCCGGACACATCTTTAACCATACTTGACTATCGCTACGATTTCTTAACAAGGCCGAGTTTCAGGAAACGCTGCGTACTCAGTCGTCCATTTTTCCATCATCCGTTGAGAGGAGGACAAATTGGGTTGCTACTTGTGATATTATGGGTGAGTCGCAGCTCCGCAGTGTTCCGAAGGAGAAGCTATTGTTGTTCCCACCAATGCTTTTCCTTTAGCCGAAGCTCATTTCTTCTCACAGCACTTCAAAAGCTGGCCGGTGCAATTTGGTTGAATTGGGATAGGTTTTGTTTCTCGAGGGAACTACTGGTCGTCTTGTTTACTAACGTGTGCATTGCAGGCAGTGTCGAAACGGCGCCCCGTCTGTGCTAAAGCATGGCTTATTAGTCTCTGTCTTCGTGCGTATGGTGTGCATAGAGTGTACTGTAGCATCCCGTCACGAAAGGTAGGTACAGGGGACCCTACCCATTAGTGCCGCCCCGTGCGAAACCCCAAAAACCTGCACTATTGGGAGACGGCATTAGAAAGTGACGTTACTTCTTCTATCTGCATGCACTCGGTACTGTAATTTACTTCTGCCTGCTCCGTGTTGGTTCTCTGTTGTGTTTCGCGGTGAGAAACACGCGCCTTGCCGACCGTAGATGCGATAGAGCGTCTGCAGCTTGGCACTCAGTCGCCAAACTTCCTGCTCTCCAAACAATTCCGCGATCTCGACGACATAGGGTATAGTCCTCCTCTCTATTGTATCTTCTGCGCTCTCATCTTTATCACTTGATTGCATTTCAGGTGGATTCTGCACTACGTGAACCGTCTCCAAAACATCCATGGCGTCATTGACAGACGCTTCCACTACACCTTGGCATAGTTGAGAAATTCGAGGAGGTTCAGTTCGACATGGGGGACCATTACGGACTGACGAGTCTTCGTTTGGAGTGATTTGGGCTTCTCGCTTGCTACGCGGAGCAATGCTGGAGCAGTTGCCTTGATTTTGCGTACAGTGCGCTCTGCAATGCCGAACTGTCACACAACTGCTGGTGTACGGTGTCCATTGGCGAGCAGATCTGCGATTTCGAGCTTCTGCGATATGGTCAGGCGCTTGCGAGTCGCTTTTGTCTTTTTCGAAACCGGAATTATGACGAGTACCTTCGAAGGTACAAGCTAAGATATGTGAACAGTGTTCGATGGCGTGAGAAGGAGGATCCCGCAAAAAACGGCTTTGACGTGTTTGACACGTACGGAGTCCGTACGCCGTCCGTAAGAGCATCTCCACCGCGGCAGCAAATTCGGTCCAAATATGATATTTACCAAATCAGGGTAAAGTTTGGTCTCCACCGCGACACAAGAACGCAAATTGCATCGTAAATCGAATTCGAAATCGGCGTTAGAGTTTTTCTCGTGGCAAATCAGGCCGATTTGCAACGAGATATATCCCAAAGCGATGATTGCCACGAGCTCGTCACAAGCTGATTAGGGCGCGCGAACATTAATTCTGATTAAATCTCACAGTTGAAACACCTGGGGTGGCGGGAAGCCAGCTAGCAACTACATGTGGGCGCGAAAAACAGAACAGCTGGTCCTCAAAAGGCATCCGAAATCACGTCATCCTCGTCATCGTCTGTAAGGAAGTCCTCAATGTCGCACTCGTCATCCCCCTGCGCAGCGGCGCTGCCTTCGACCGCCTCCAGCGGCGCCATCGGTTTTAGGGCGCCAAAGTCGTCCAGAGAGTCCATGTCGTCCTGCGGGTTAACGAGTGCGCGCGATGGAGACGAGCAGCGCATTCGGCATAGCGCATTGCAAACAATTTGGAACATGGGGTGCCCAAAGACAGCGACCAGCTAGAAAACTGACACGCGTCCTAATTGGAATAGATTTAGCTGCAGCGCTGGAGATGCTCTAACGGACGGCAGCATAACAGGCGGAACCGTATGACACGTGGCACTTTTCGTGTTCGTGGGTCTGGGCCTACACTATTGGGAGGGTGGCACAAATATAAGCAGCACTAATGGGTAGGGTCCACTGTACTGTACCCAGGACAGTTAGAGCACCCCTACTGGTTTAGTTACATTTCGAGGTTAAATATGAGAAATTTAGCGTTTGGAGATAGCGATTCTAGGCGCAACACTACCGGTTAGAGGGCAAATTCAAACGTGTTGTGCAGTGATTGGCTCTTTCGGCAGCCGTGGTCATCCAGTACGAGGGATGGTAGTGGTGGTGCTGTACGGATATACTGTGGGGGACGTCTCCGCTTCCCATCTCCTCAAGCCCCACATGACACCATCATGCCCTGGAGGAAGGGCAGGGAGGAAAGGAGGAGGAAAGGGAGAAGGGAAGGCTTCAAGAAGAATGCAGGAGGGTGGCAGTGGCGGGTAAATTCAGCTTGGGATGAGGGTGTTGGGGGTGTTCCCTGTGCACAGAAAACAGTGCGTTCCCTGTGCACAGAGAACATTGCTCGCGCCAAGTCAATAGAATTGGCGTGGGTTTTTGGTAATTTTTCCAAGTGGCGCAATTCTACTCGCATCTCTATTTGCGCAAATGAGTAAATCTGTCTCCATCCGGTCGGCTGCTTGGAGATAGATTTACTCAAAATAGTAAATTTTTTAGAGATACTCACTCCACTAGAGTTGCTCGTGGCCAAATCTATCTCCAAAAATCAAAAATTTACTCATTTACTCAGGGCCTCCTTTAAGACAGCATGGACAGCCATGTTTGGATGTATATGTTTGCGATTTTCAAAATATTACATGTCCAATAATTTAATGTATTGTGTCAGCGCGCCGTGATCCGTAAATTGGCTCAAGGGGTGCATCATACCGGGCTATCGATAGGGAAGCGAACGGTCTTTCTGAGCAGTGATGCAAGGAAGTGGCTGCAAAAAAGCCGCAAATCTCATTATCTTACAGTGCCTGGTTCGATATAGTGCCGTTTTCGGCCCACTGACAGAGGGAGGCACTATATCGCGATCCCCGTGTACTGGCATTCAGGGACGTCAATAAAATGATTCAATTGAATTTTAATGTATGCTAAATTGGATCAAGATTGAATTCAATCGCACTTATGCGGTAGGCGACAGCCAATGGTGTGCTCTCGTATGGCACGTTGGTAGCGACAGATTCCATTATTTTAACTTTGTGTGCGCCATCATACTGTTAAGAAAAGTATTAAATGGACCAATCAGGTGCACGCTGACGTCCATACATGTCCAAACATGCCCGTCCATGCTGTCTTAAAGGAGGCCCTCAACCACTAGGGGTGCTCTTAGGCCTCATGTTCAGCGTGGAGATGAGCAAGGATTCTTCTGGCGACTATCTCCTGGCAACTATCTCCTGGAGCGATCCGGTGTCTGATTGCTCTAAATTTCGGGAATGTAAGGCGGGGAAATGTGGAATTTTCAGTAGCACAGTGCTAGTATTGAGAGCAAGAAACAAAGAGTTTAATAGCCTGTCTCTTTGACTTCGGGTTAAAAGCACAACACGTCTGAATAGATTCCAAAAACATGATAGAATTTCAAGTTCATTTTGATAAGAACACTGTTGAAATTATAGAGATGGGAAATTGTACGCGGATGAGGATGTTGCATGCATGTTTTCCGGCTTCAAATCAGAGGCGCCCCTGCTGGCACCAAAACACACGACAGAAGCAGTATATGTCCTCAAGGCGTCCTTTCGCCGAAACACGAATGACTGGTCAGAAATGGATATACTATTATTATGCAAGAGAAGGTGACCACATTCAGGAGGGCCCTGATCGAGGCAACAGCTCCTTTCTCCTGCTTCAGCTCTCCTTGAAGATGAGAGACCTGCGAGATATGGCACACAGTTCCCTCAACAGCTCCGAGATGAGGACAGTGTGCCTCATCCCACACAGATGGGAAGAACATCGTGCTGCCACGGATGGAAACATAATTCATCTTACAAGTTCGGTCAGTCGATTTCTTTAAGTTGTGTAAATTCCCACCTCTGAAACGGACAGCAGTCTGACTAAGAAGACGACAAGTTCTCTGGAGACGGCAGAGGACTGAAGTCTTCTTTTCAATTAAGACAAAACCCCAGCTCCAACCTTAAAATTTTCATAAGGAGCCAACCGCCTAAAGCGAAAGGCGAGCCATCCCCGTTATAAAAGAGGACGCGAAGAACATTTGGTGTATGATGTAATCTGTCTGTGATGCCAAGATCAGACGGATGCCTCCAACCCCCGAAGGTGGTCGGAGCGCCGGCGGCTTTATTTGCGTGTAACCTATCGTTGCCTTAAGGGCTGTGCCCTATCTATAGGTGGTGTCCGATCTGGGTGGAACCACACTGTCGTTCTAGAGGTGACCGTGAGCCAACACCGCAAGGTGGTCATGTCCCCATGCCAGACTTGTATCACCCGACACTGGATGAAAGAATGTATTTGGCCAATGTAAAGCGAGCAAACTTCTCAACCGACATCAACAATTCTGACTGACAGGATCTCAATACAGCAAAGAAAAGTTCGTCAAACCTGTCTTCGCTGAGCAGCTTGTTGCCTTTTGTCGCTCTTGAATGGGAGTTTGAATTGTAGATTGATTGCAATTTCCCTTAAGGGAAAGAGTTTGGTCTCTAAGCGCGCTACACGGGATAAAGGGGGGGCTAGAAGGCGTTCTTTTCTTAAATAGAATAGAGGCATACAAATATGACGTATCCACTTCTTTGTCACTGTATGTAGAAAGATCATCGCTAATTACTAGGATGGGACCATAATTTATATTCAATGTAAGACATACAGTAGATGTACGAATTAGAAGACGAGCACAAGATATGGCGAAAGCATGAGATGTGTAGCCTTCATAGAACCTGACAAGCTTCGTGGATGGATTTCAATATTTGGAGATCACAAAATTTTTGTACCTGTTGCTTATATATTGAGAAGGGGGTAGCAGTGATGAGATATGCGTTTAAAAACTCTCTAACGAAAGAGGGAAACTTCTTCCAAAATATGAGGAACACGTTGCCCTATACAGAAAACGAGCGGGCAACAGTGTATAGTGTAAACAGCGAGCTCACAGCAGTGCTCAGTGCGGACAGCGAGCTCACAGCAGTGCTCAGTGCGGACAGCGAGCTCACATCAGACGCAGTGCATACTATTTTACTGTGAGCTCCCGAGAAGCAGACTGGGATTTGCACCTCACGTGAATTCCGCGGGCCAACAGTTCATACCTCGTTTCTTTGAATCATATTTGTGTTTGGGAGTTACGTAGTAGGTATTCGCCTAAATCCCTTATTTCTCTGATTAGATAAGACTACTTAAGACGGCCTGGAGACATGGTTTGACCACAGGCCAGAACTGAGTCATCCAACTTCAAGTTCAACGTTTACTGGACTGGTAGCGATTGTTTAAGAAATTGTCGATTCGCTAATAGAGTGAGGAGTTGTCAAGATGAGAGGGGCGTTGCAATTGTTCTGCTGTTTCACGCTCATCGCCGCGAGTCACAGCGCAGCCTGTGGGCGTCACGGGGAATCCATGCAGAAGACAGAGTTTTCCCGAGCAGTCAAGAATCATTTTAATAGGAGAGTACAAGCCTACTCGTTGGTATGGTTTACTGATGGGGTTGACTTTAACATCAAGACTAAAGAACGAGGCAGGGTAATCCGCATCAGACTGAAGAACACGTCGAATCTTTTCCCTATAAAACTCACCAGAGACCTGGATGCTGCGGAAGCTGTGGACTGGATTGTCAACTGTAATAGTGGATCAACTACCAAGGGTGGGTGGAGAAAGGTTGGCGGGGTGCGTTACGACTTTGATCCTATTCGCAGTTGAAAATTCGATTGACGTAGAGGTTCAGCGGTACGAAGCCCGCGCACTGCGTGGGCAGGAGGAAAGGGTGCACGTCCCGCTATTCATTTCGTGCCCGCAGTTCCAGACTTGGTCCAACGATTAAATATAAGCCACTCTTTTCCACGTTGACCAGATTGTGTACCGAGTTCAACAGGTATTCGTTTCCTAAGTTAGTGACAAAATTGTTGTCTATCGAAAGTTCGTTTACACTGCTACTCCTTGAAATGTCGTTAAGTTTCTGTAAAACGCCATCATGGCAAGATAGATAAACCATTGCGAAAAGACTTTGGCATTTTACGTTGTTGCCAGACTGAGGGTGTGTCTTAACATGCCCCGTTTTGCTGCGGTTTGCTTTGCCTTGCCCAAAGAAGTGACTTGGCGTGCTATGAGTGGCTCCTACGTTTTAATTTATGTGTTTAAGAAAAGCAACGGCTTAAGAAGTGTGATGCCAAGAACTGGTCCGACGCC